AAAGCGAAGATGTAATAGAACGAAACTTGTTGGCAAAATAACATCTGTGGGCCAAATTACTCATTAAAACCCACCCGAGATATATGGGCGTGCTTTTACATTAGGAATATACCGACATTTTCCAACATCTTACCCTTACCTCAAAAAAAGGTTAGATCTGAACCTATGGATGAGGTGAAATTTCCGCTATCATTCCTCCTAGTAGCTCGACTCAGTAGTTATTAGATTACTGGTGCAACCATACACATCGCATGTTACAAGTTATTACCCGTGCTTCAGTGTCTAGACGTTTACAACCCTTAAGTGCCCATTTTAAAAAATGAGTAAAATGTTGCCGGAGGTGGCCACATATCTATGTATTTTGGTTTTTGAGCGTGCCACGTTCTACGGCGTTCCGTTCATATGATAATTCAGGTTCCAAGATTTTTAGATTACACAATGTTTTTATGCTCTGATAATGGTACACCACGGGTTGCTACTCCTTAAAGTAGACTACAAATTTCGATCTTCTAAATTTTTTTGTAGACAACTAAAAGGCAAAAGAACGCCATGATAAAATAGCACTATGTTAGATATAAGAGCATACTGTCTATAGCGTTTTTATTTTCCTTTCTCCTCACCAGAAGATCAGCAGTGGACGAGAATAAAAATAAAGTTGAGAAATTGTAGAAATGAGATAAGTTTGATAAGGGGATTATTTACGTATCCATAGCATAAATTACTGTGTTCTAATAAGCAGACTCTGATGAGAATGAGAAAATTTGATGAAATAATGAAAATCCACTCCATACACCTTATTTACATTATAGCACATATTCAAAAGACATCATAACTTTGTGATATTCGTATGCCTTTTAAGGGCAACATGACAACTGCCATTTCCACCTTAGGTTCAACATCTTCGGGTAGAAAATAGGGCAGAATACAAAGACTATCTTGTTCGTAAGGATTCCGTCCCACGCTTGCGTTTGAAGCTTGGATTCAATCATAAAAAAGTAAACGAGTTTTTCGCTCGCAGTTCTCGTTCATCGTGCATGAAAATAAAGCGTATAATTAATAATTATAAAGCTAATTTGAAGGAGTTATCTAAATGATAGTCCAATAAAATGCTCTTTCTTGTGTGTGTAGTTGACAAAGAACGACCAGGCTAAGAATCGAGCGCAAAAAATTAATGTTTAAAATCTGTCCCGTGATCTATTTTTTGGCGGAGCCTCAGAAGGGAACTAAAGTTTTCAGTGGGCATTTTTTTGTTTCCCGATTTTTTTCCCTTTCCGCTCATGAGAACCTGTAAACTGCGCTTGTTCCATCTAATGGACAATCTGCAATTCCTCTTTCTCTTGCTAACACCTTTGATTACTTTCCTTAGGACAATGGCATCAGCTGCTCCCGATGTCACTCTTCCCTGATTACAGATTCCTATGATCTGATGTCATCCTCTTTGTCAATGTGAGCTGTTCGCAGAACGCCGAAAATTGTGACAAAATTGCTTACATCTACGATATTGATCTCGGTGACTGGATCAGGAGGAAACGTTAAATTGATAGCTCCAATTGAAGCTTCATGAGCATTTCCATAGGTTACAACATACTTTGCATAGACTTGGTAAGACCCTAAAAATTAGGCGATAGTGACGGGTTGTGATAAAATATGCAAAATTTCTGATAAAAAAATCAGCAAGAACAGACAAGACGCAAAAGCACGCCATTCCCGTAAGCTATGATGGAAAGTGACATTGCGATCTCAATAGTGTACACATTCCAATCGAAATACAGTATCTATTATCTGCTTACCTAAGGAGCGTTCCATTTTAACAATAAAGTACTACGCGATTAAGGCGGATCACAAAAATGTCTTATTCTATAGTTGCATTGAAAGAATCAGATGAAATTATGCTTGCTATAGTCTCCATGTTGTTTCGTCCTTGAACCGGGGCATGTTAGTGTGTCAGTTGTTTAAAAGTGTTTTGCCGAAACCCGGTTTTAG